ATGCCAGTGGGACTAAATCAGGGTGACACGTACACAGTTCTTCGCTCGCAGTCTTCTTAGAAGAATAATCATTGTTCTTTCAAAATTATTTAAATCACGACAATTGACCTCCTATGAAAAATACAAAGATACAGCTTTTGTGCACGCGATGTAAAGTATTTTCCAACCAAGGAAAATTGTTATGTGACGATAAACGGAACTGCTCGTTCAACCGGACTTTTTACTGTGAGGCTTTCACGTCCATATTTATTATCCAATGACTGCGGTGCCTCATAGTGTAGATAACCACTGGCCTTGTCAGAATATACATACACATACTTTTTTATATAAAAAATACTGCTCTTTTAGGCTTAATTTAATACCCAAAACAGCGCTTAACATTTTAAAATCAAAATTGTTGTGGGATACGAAATAATGAGTATAGATACAAATCTTGTCATGCTAGAATAATGAATTGTGTTATGCGAAAACATGTCGTGGGATAGGAAATGCAGTGAAGTCAGTTTGACACGATATGATTTAAGGCTTATGTAATATAACAACAGGAAATGGCTTCTGTATGGACTATTGAAATGACTACAAAATTAACAACAAATTTCAGGAGTCTTGAGACAGCGAGAAACAAATAGCCAGAGGAAGCCGTATGCGATATCACAGTCTCCTGTTCTGGACCGAGTGTTCTAAGTTGAATTGTTTCCAGACTTCAGTCGGACTTGAATATAATAGACTAATTTCCCGATTTTCATTCATCGTAGGTTTATCTTGAGTGATCATATGGTAATTATAAGGGAAAATTTAGAAATAGGATAGGAATAATTTATCTTCATTATGAGCTACGTTCAACACCACCATGAACAATTACCCTCCTCTATAATTTTGATATTTTCTACAGGAAGTCGACATCTACATAACATTTTCGCTGTGAAGATGTCTGTCTTCAGGGCCGTAGCGCCGTGTAGTCTGGCAGAAGTTTTCCAACGTTTCAGAGGTCCTGACGCTGGATGCAGCAAGGACCTCTGAAACGTTGGCAAACTTCTGCCAGACTATACCGCCTTAAACAGACGAACATGAAGTATTTTTCTACATACAAGTTTGCAACTTATTATAGCTCTTCTTGGGAATTTAAATATGAATTATATTAGGCCCAATAAAATCTTCACGGCCCCCTTTCGGGGGCAGGAGGGGGCCGCTTAGGTAAACGCTTGTCGTTTTGGCCAATGTGAATCTGTTGATCCACGCTTGTTAGCCTTGAACTTTTTTTTTGCAGACAAACGAGTTCATCGAAACATACCTGTTCAGCATTTTTCAAAAATGGCCGTATCATCCGATGACTTGCGAATTATAAGCTGTTAACTGTTCTCCTAAATTACAGGATACTTTATAGATACGCTGCAGAGAAACTGGCATTTGTATTAATACTGCCCGCCTTAGTTTCACTTTTGATTCATATTTCATTCGAGTCCTTCGGAGTATTTAGGAGTTCCCGTTTAGAACTCAGCTCAGAGAGCGGTCGTCCTGATATAACCGTTCACACTATTTGCAAACTCATCAATACACAGTGATATTTCAGGTTCTCATGGCGGCGTGTATGAAGAAGGCTGTCTTCTGGGTTGTTGCCCCGTGCAGTCTGGTAGAAGTTTACAAACTTTTCTGTGGAATCCGTAATAGCCCTCTACCGGATCTAATATAATAGGCGTCTCTCGCTTTTTTAGTGAAGACGAAGCAAGCGTCGAAACGTTCATTCTTCGACGGGGATGCGTCCTCTGTAATAGCCTGCATCTTTCTTGATAAGCATTTCAATATGAACGTGTGATGCCACCCGACTGTAAGCGTCTGACGTCACACAAGAAAGCGTAGATTACCGAGGACTTGAAACCAGCTGGCGGGTTGCTTCACACGCCATGATAGGACTTAATCTCTGTCATGTTCAGAGAAATACGAAGACCGGGAAATCTGCTTACGTTTACTCCACGAATGCAACTACCCGAAGAAATGCCTGGACTGCCTCGTCATTTTCTCGCACATTTTGCCTAATTCGTACGTTTCATTTTCTCACTCGAAGTTTTATAAATGACACAGATGAAACAGCGCTTTTAAATAAAGTGATAAATATTTTTAACACCAAGCCTTCGAGCTATAAAGCCTGATATAACATGTTGGATTTATAAGATACGTATTACATACTCGGTTGAACAACCAAAATTTGATTCCCAGCAGGGAGAAGGGATTTTCATCGTTACTCTGGGGCACACGTTGGGGGCAAAGTCGCTGGAGCGTGGAGTCTTCCACTCACTTCCATCTCGCCGAGATTAAAAGTGCTTTCCCATACGTCTTCATAGAGCGATGCAAGGTATCTTATTGAACTACACTGCCAGCAGCTCTGACTGTACAGCTCCGAAACACAATAACAGGAAGAATGTGGAAGGAAGTGGTCGTTGCCTAATTTAAAATACCCCAACAGCGATTGGCTCGGGTGACTGAGGAAAACCACGACGAAATCTGTCAGGGTAGACAGGTTGCGGGCCAAGATTTGAACCAAGAACCTCCCGAATACGAAACAGGCGTGCTAACCACCCGACCGCGACTTTCGATACCAATTTATCTTCGCACAAAGTACGTTTCCATAAGTGTTTAAGTCATTTTACGATAGCGAAGGTGTGTGACACTTCGTGTGCGTAAGGTCGTTGTTAAGTTATGTCTGGCAAAGCAGCTCCTAACACCTGCTGCCAGATAGGACAGAATGAACCGCGAGTTTACATGACGTCAAAACAAAAGTATTCTACCTACTGACTTGCCCTGAACTGCTGAAGGTTCCAGACAAGGCTTTTCTTTCGCCATGGATACGTCATATTACAACAGCAGAAAATATGGCAGTGGTAGAATTTAAACCAGATTATCTGCTAATGGATGACAGAACTATACTTAAAAACTGGATGAAGTCTGGAAGGTCGAAATGATTTAACTATGCCAAGGTGTCATTTATGAAGGATCCTAAGTAGACCAGCATGACACGTGGTATGCCAGCTCTTAAACTCCACAACTAACTTCGTTTTATTTTCTCTTAAGTCATTGTGTATTTGTTACAAGAATTATATTTATTTATAGGAATATGTGGAAATTTTTAATGTGGTAAGAAAATTACTACATCAGCAATGGAAGGCTTGTTGTTTAGTTTTTAGGAAATTAATTAAGTTTTGTCATAAAATTGTTTTCCTTAATAATTTGCAATTTTGATTAGAATTTTTTTTTTTTTACATATTTCTGCAAGCTCCAGTCTATTAAAGTGATGTTAGACCAAGAAAAGAAAGTCAGTAATTTTGAAATGGATAATTTTATTAATCACTGTATTCCGTATAAAAGCCTGGAACAATATTATTTTCAATTCTTGTTCTCTTATTCAGCTGAGCAATAGTCAATTTCAAAAACAGACACCAATCCATTGAATTACGTTTATTTCGTGATTTGAACAGGTCTGAGTAACCTATTGATGTAATTAACCAAGAAAATGGGCTGAAATGTTAGTAGGACGAGGGACACAAGTCATGCTTATAGAATTTCAGAAGGGAATGTGACAGGTGATGCGAGGATAACGTCTTGATGGGTCTTGGTGACGACAAGTCTGCGGTTGGCAGTCACATGATTTCTGCATACATCGTTAAAATAAACATCTAAATAAAATTTTATAGATATTTAACTGATCTTGAGCAGATTAATTATGACTCTTCTAGTCCACTTCAGATAGCATTAATTTAACACAGCCAGATACAAGTTCTGTTTTAAATTTGAGAAACCAGCACCTCTTTGTCAAACAGCGTGAAGCGTCAAGGTCGAGACCTCATTATGTAAGTCTGTGTTGGGTTACATGTCAGCACAATAAATAATTAACACTGCGTATTCTTAAGACAGTTTATTAAACAAATAAATCATTGCATCAAATGCAGTATGTATGGAAAACATTGAACTATGCAAAATAATATAATGAGAGGAACAGATTCAGGAAATAACCATGCCAAGGCATGAAAAACAACCTTAATATAATGCCTAAAATAAGCGGCTCACACTGCTTTAAACAATAAAAGGTAATGTACCTTAAACAATCTTAAAGTTTTCCTTCTATACTGGAATCTGTGACACATTTTTCATCAACGAGTAAAGTTTATAAATTGGATAACAGTGGCTATTTATGGAGCAGAAATTTGGCAACTCTCGGAACAAAAAAAGAATAAGTCGAGAATAATCGAAATGGATTTCCTAAGAAGAGCGGCTGGAATTTCCAGAAGAGAGAGAGTGAGAAACGAAAGGATTAGAGAAATCATGAGGATGGATCGAGATATAATTGAGGAGATGGAGAACAGACAACTGATTTGGTACGGACACGTGCAAAGGATGGAGGAGGAAAGGTTACCAAAGAAGACTATGAAATAGCAACCAAAAGAGAGAGAGGCCGAGACCAGGATCGAATGACAGAATTACAAGAATCATGATTGAGTGGAAACTACCTCTGGAAGGATGGGAAAATACAGAAGAATGGAAGAAAACATTAGGCACTGGAAGACCGAAGTAACGGTCAGGAAACTGAAGAAGAAGAAGAAGAAATTGGATAACAGGTGAAGATTTCTGTCTTCTGGGTTCTTACGCTACCAGACTACAAAGTACAAGAACCCAGAAGACAAAAATCTTCACACTCGCCACTGTGAAAACCCTCAAATCTTACAGGTGAAGATTTATATGATAATGGAAGCCAAAGTTTTAAAACTCAAAGAGATTTAGACACATTTCTCTGCTACTGTTCACTGATGAAACATCACTTCGTATCATACAAAAAAAATGTAACCCTTCTTCTGCATTTAATAATTACCGTCATCTTTTTTTAGAACAAAGTGAACTGCTATTAGGACAAGTAATGTTTCTGAAATAAGGGATGTTTGACAGACCCAACATGGCTAAAAGAAATGCACTTGTAAATGTGTACATACTATTTTATAATGCCAGACACAAAGTATCTTTAAAGCTTTTAATTCATTCATTAGCATATGAATAAAAGAACTTCCATTTTCTAAAAATTCTAATTGGATTCCTACTCCAATTCTAAGTAACTTAATACAATTATTTCCATTGCACCAAAGAATGAAACAAATACACGTAAATTTTACAAGAACATTCCTTTCCGTATTGTTTTTTTTTCAAATGAAAACTGATGACCCGCATCTTTGATATTTCCTTAACTACTACGTTAATAATGTCGCCCTTCAGCACGTAAAAACTGGATTTATCTTTCTGCCTATTTTCTTTTGGTTAGGAAACACTTCTAAAGATCTGAAACCACATTTAGTCTCTTGCGTACACCACGTTGAAAAAGGGCTCAGTCTTGATAAAATCAAAGTGTTGAGTTAATAATCTAATTTAGATATCCAGATTTTTTTTAATGGCTCCTGCTTAATTTAATATTAAAATTGGCAAATATTATTCACTGATGTGTTTACATTTGTCCTGCAGAATTTGGCAATGTGTCTATTTTGTACTGCCACCAGAAAGTTATAATAATACAACTATTCGCACAATTGCACCCCTTTCTCATTCTCCCATCAAAGGATCACACATTAAATTACCAATTAGCATTTGCAAAAATACACACACATCTTATTACGTGACTACTACTTACTTACACACTGTTGTGCACACGAATCTGAAGAAAATGTGTCCTTAAGAAGCATAGTCTTCACCTTGTCCATATCACAATTAAAGAGCAAGTTATATACTTTTAATACCACAGAGTTATTTATTTACCTTGAAAAATTTGTGCAGACTAACAAATACTTCGGTCCATAAAGCTTAATCTGTCTCCACCTCACTTTGGTGAAATCAGTATTGATCATGCAGGAGTGGGAAGATGAATTTCTACCAACTGAACATATTTCTTTTCTTGTATTGATATAATGTTAACACAAATCAAAAATTGAAATTTCTTTTTCAATGCCAATTAACTAACCTGAGTTATAAACTTCAGTTTCACCAACATAAGACTAACTTCTTGCTGACTAATATTGTAAACATCAACAACCCATCATAGACTTTGGTTTTGCAGTTTTCTTAGAGTGCAGAAACGATCACACAGCTCCACCAACATCATTTTGATAACGCGTTGTCAGGTACACAGCAGCTTCAGTTATTTGCTGTAGGGAATGATGAAGCCCGTGAAGATGCCTGCGGAAACTCTCGGCTACTTGAAGTGAGTAGTCGGAACCTTGTCCGTTATTTTCTTCGGCTTCTATCCCAGAATCATTCTCATTCCCTGTATCAGAATCAGAGTCTGAAATGGAAGCTGTGGAGTTTATTGAGGTCATAGATACTGTTGATGGACGCCTGAGGTGGCCCTTTACAGAGCCAGAAGAAGCTGAAGTTGGGGTTACTGAACCAATTCCACCATTCAGAGATTTCTGCCTTTCATCTTCTTCTTCTGGTGCTACATTCTGTCCCCACAAGAGCTCATTCTTGACACAGTTGACCATCGTATATAGGTTGTACAGATCAGTGGATGCCATGTCATTTAGGGTGGACTTACATCGTTTCCCACTGTTGCCACTGCCTGCATGTTTCGATGAAGCCTTCATCTCTACAACAGTATCCCCAGCATCTCCAACTTTCAGATCCATGAGCCTGCATGGAACTAGTATCGTCTCGTCCATATCGTTGACAGCTTTCACAAATTTCTCCATGACATTCATTATACTCTGATTTGAGAATTCCGTATCGTCGTGACGAGCAATCCTCCTGAGGCAGTTCCTAGAAATTGTAAACATATTCACTATTAGAGACTACTGTTTTCTCCACTCCCAATTACAATGGCCGCTAGCTTTCGGCCATAATTATATACCACAAGCATTTTTTTTAATCCGGAAGAATAATTTCTTTTAATCTGACATCAAGGGCGCAGTATTGAACTTCCATATCGAATTGGTGACACTTTTTTTACCTATTACAGAACAGCTTAATGGTGCCTTAATATGGAAACACTTCGAAAACTGTTACTTACTGGCTGTTTGTACGAAATACCATGTAACTATTCACAACGAAATAATGAAGCTGCAAACAATACCGACTCTTAGGTTACATTCTGGCAAATGAAAACATGTAGGAAAATGTCCGGCTCAAACCGAACATGCACTATGATCAAAGGAACTGACGATAAGACAAATAACACTTAGTGATGCAGATTATAGCTCACCTAGTGGTTTCCATATTTGAAGACACAGGAATATTATCACTATACACGTTTGTAATATCACTCGTTAGCATTCCTATGAATCACAACTTTCACAACCACGCACCAGCACCAACACTAACCGACAAATTCGAGTGCTAGCTGAGAAGGCTGTAACCCACTTATATGAGCATGGTATGAACTCGTTGGGGCTCGGGAAGTTTGTCGGCGGACTGCGCACTGATCAATTTTTATTTCGCGGGTACATATGCTAACGTATTGTTACGTCAAATTGAATTTAAAATACGTCACATAATGAGTTATATAACGTGTGACAATCCATTTTTATGTATATGACGACAAAGAGTAAAACAATACCTTACATTTCCAATGTAGATTTTTTTTTAGAATACTGTGAACATTTATGTGTGTTCTTGTAAAACACATCATACGTATTGTGCATTCTAATAAAATACATAACCAAATTCAAGAACGTGAGGAGTCTTGTGAATGATTTACATACTGACAAATTTTATTATTCAGAGAATTGTTACTCCTTAGAACAGTATGTACTCAAATGTGCAACTAAAATCAATTAAGACAAGGGAAATGTGCCAGGCAAATAATTTTAACTGAACGCAATTTAATATTTAATATTTTAATATTTTCCGTCAAATCACAATTTTAATAAGATAATAAAATATAAAATATTTAAAATATCATTTCACGTTCCGCATCGAATGATCGATTTACAAATTGGAACGTCTCTTACGACATGTTTCGGTTATATATATATATTATTAAAATATTAACCTAATTCACAATATAACGCAAATATACTACCTTATGAAAGCAATTTATGTATTGAGTTCAAAGGTACCGAAGAACGGAATGCCTAATACATGATAACTTTTTATTTCAGCAATGAACGTTTTATATGATTATTACTTATTAGGTTCTGAACTATGCCAATAATATTAGTTTATTTGTCAAAACTGTGTAAACCGTAAATATGTTTGGAGTTAATCCAGAAGTAAACGCGTTACTATACTACAGGACAAAATCTTAATATAAGATAACTAATTAATGTAAATCGTTCGAAAATATGGCAGTATTTGAGAATTTGGAAACGACGATAACAAACCAAAATTTCTTTCACGAAGAAATTTAGACCAGATTAAATTCTGGAAATATTTGCAGATTGTATTTGAGGACAGGGTTATGAGGATAATATCTGGACCTGAGAGGCAGGACAAACCATCGGAACGATGGAGAAAATTGTATAATGAAAATCTTCACAACTTTTATAAAATTTTGGCCGGAAAACCTGAATGAAAGATGTAGACGTATATAGGTGGATAATATTAAATCGATCTATTAAATTAATCGTGGGGAATTTATTGTGTAGCTGAGTGACTTTTAGGTTCTTTCGAAGGTGTCTACTCCTTGGAGGAAACTTATAGACCAACATAATATGTAATTTATCAGTTTTTCTAATTTATACGCTGTATTTTAATTTAAGAAACCAATTAAGGATATACTGTAAATGAGAAAATTGACATTACATGTGACTTAATTTCAGTGAAGGTCTGAGAATTCATGGGACCTATATATTATAAAGTAATCGTTTTTCAGATCAACCTTTCTGGAGAGTAAGAAATCAAGCTCGTATTTCGTTGTACAAACAGGGAAATAACCTTGCTCCGCTCTCTATCAGCGAATTTCAAAACTAATCTGAAACTGCCATCTGACGGAGGAACAATATGTCTGTACCATGAAAACGAATAAATGTGTCTTGAGAATATATTCATGGATCGCGCTAAATTATGATGTAAGAATGTCTACGTATGCACAACTTCCTAAATGTTATGGCATTGTGCAATGCTACGGACATGAAAGTTAATTTGTGTTCTTAGCAAGTATAAGTGAATACAAGAGACTCTGTCGTCATCTTCTACACTGTGAGGGCAATTTATAGAGTTACGATGGTATGCGTCATCTGGTCCATAAATACTATATGTAATTTATAATAACATATACAAACGGTACATAAAGGAGAATAAGATGAGTGGGGTATGTAGCACGCATGGGAGATATAAGTGCGTAAAAATGTTAGTTAGAAAATCTGAAAGGACGAGACCACTTGCGAGAGACAGACGCGTTTGAAAAACAATATTTATTATAAATAAGGTGGAAGGGTGTGGACTGTATCCATTTGGCCCAGGAATGGGATTGATGCCGGTCTTTTGTGAATCTTCGGGTTCGATAAAACAGTGAGTTTCTTGACTTACCGATCGACTGTTACCTTCTAAAAGACTCTGCTCCATGGGTTACATAAATAATAAGGAAACATCTGTCGATAAAGTCAACTAATGGTTACATTGACATTCAAATGACTTCATATGCATTCATAGATATGCCTTTTCCCAGCCACAGAACTCAGTTTCCGTATAAAGGTCATAAACTTTATAAGCGCTACTGAATTATGTCTGTGAACGAATATTTTGGCAGGCATTAATAAAAACCTGTAAGCAACACTGTTATTGCGTGGGTGTAACTTCCATTTAGTTTTATTAATTTTGAAGTTCACGTCAATGATGAGCCTAAATACATTATTTGGGGTATTTTGTTAAATATTCAAATTATCGTTGCCAGGGCTTTATGACAAAGCAGGGCACTTAGAATTACATCAACCAGATTTACGTATTACTCGTGCAAAGTCTGCATATAATTCCACACTTTTTTCCTTTCACTAGTTCTCAGAGCTGGATGCCCGGGGTTCGATTTCAGAAAGAAGACAGGAGCTTTTCCCTACTTTTAGGGTTGGAGGGTTATTTATCTTGGGATAAAGCGACAGGCGCTTAAATATGTCCACTTATTTTCATCTAATACTTACGTTAACAAATGGTAGAGCTTTATCTCCATGTCTAAGTGAGCCTTCATGATTCTTAAGTACACAGACAACTTTACCTCATTATTTTTACAGGAAGTAATTTCTTATAACGTTTCCTACATTGGGGGGAGGCCGTATTTAAACTCCTAATTCACGGCCCCCTAAATAAGGGCCAGTAATGGGATTTTATGATTACGTTTGGATGCGACAAAATTGAATTTGCTGAGGAGCTTAGTTGGTATCTGATGCTCGTAAAGATGTTGTGCCGTTGAGTTGCGTAAGTAGTCAGTTGCGTCACTAAATATTAAATAAATTAAAACAGACGCCATACTTTAATGGATTTTTAAAAACACTTCTAGAATTTGATTGACATCACCTAGAAAACGACATATCGCAATAAAAAATAGCACGTAAATTATCATTAAAGCAGGATTAATAATTAACGAATCGGAAAAAGAGAACTACTCAAGCAAATAAGAACTTTGTTCTTGGAAACGTGGGGAACAGGTTTTATGTAACCAACCGAAGCAATTATTATTCTGTAGCCGTCTTTTTTATCACCTCACAAAGTAAACGGAGTAAAAATATATTTGAATAAATTAATTTATTAAAATGTAGTGATGTAGCACATAACCGTGAGAATCGATATTCAAATATCGATTCTATTCATTGCCTATGGGACTCAAAGGAAATGACAGGTGTGAAAATGAAAATCGGTTTGTTAGCCTACGAACACAGACGTTTGCTGACAGGAGTTGAACAAAGCTTTCAGTTTGTAGTATACGTGTATTTCCCGAATGCTTTCTTTGCCATTTTGCGTGCCAAATGCTGTATTGGCAGATTAAAATATGTTGTTACACGGTCAGCATGTAAAACTGACACGTAAAGTATTTTGTCCTTGTATTTCATAAAATAATTCTTATCAATAATAATAATAATAAAAAGGAATATTACATTTGAATTTATGTCGATTATACACCTGAAGATGGTTTATTGAAAACCGAAACATGTCGTGAAAAAGATGATGCTCTAATTGTAAATCGAACATTTCGATAGAAAGAGCATAATTTTAATATATTTTAAATATTTTAAATATTAAATGTTAATTGTGTAATAATATTTTAATATTTAATAAAATATTTTATTGTGATTAGACGGTTAATATTAAACAATTAGAATCCCACCCTCTTCTCAAAAGTAAGAGACCTAAATGTCCACTGTCAATGACCGATTTAATCAAAACTAAAATGGAGATTGTGGAGGGCAGTATCACAGATTTCTTAATAATTCTTATATAAGATAAGTACCTGTGATATTCTAAAACGATTTTACCAGCACAATATTATCTAGTCTACGACGCACTTCTTCAACAAGCGATTCACAGCTGTTCTTTCCGATTGTTGACGTAAATATATACTAATACAACAATGCCGGGGCGTTCCGCTCCCTTCCAAGTCCCTGCATAGGCATGTAGCGGGGCGCTTTATTTATTTATTATTATTTACAACAATGCCGATGAAAACTATGAAGTAACAATTATTGTTTCCTCCATAAAGGAATTATAACCGAGCATCCGACTTTAGTTTAGTTTTCTTAATTAACTTAATCGTTACTCTTCATTAGGTTATGAGCCTTTTATATCATACGTAAATACGTCTATACGGAAGGGTCATTCGGCAAACAAGTGAAAGGAAAACGTGGAACGAAAATGTGTAACGAAAACGTGGAACGAAAAATGTGTAACGAAAACGTGGAACAAAAAATGTGTAACGAAAACGTGGAACAAAAAATGTGTAACGAAAACGTGGAACAAAAAATGTGTAACGAAAACGTGGAACGAAAATGTTTAAGATCCGTATCAACAAATCGACAACAATGGTTACCTAGGGAACGTCGTGTTTACTCGTCATTGTTGTGTTACACTACTGTCGTCAACAATCCGCTTTCGTTATTGCGGAAAGAGCTGAACTGTTAATCGCTTGTAGAAGTGCGTCGTAGAGTAGATAATTTTGACATTACATTACATTTCATTACATTCAGAAACCTTCCTTTCATTGTATTTATTGCTTAAATATAATTTAAATACAGAGACGTATTTACGTCAGATTCTCCGGAACCGTGGTTCCACTGTCAACTTGTTTTTATTTCACAATCATTCTTAAAGGATTTGTTCAATTTAATACGTGTTTCTGCATCACGCAGCTCAAGGTGTTCATTGCATTACAACTACTTTGGAATTTTAGCACATGTTTAGACCGGAAGTGGACACCCGCTTCTAAGCGAACGGAACCAGCAGAAATACTTCCCGATCTTATTTTCTGAAATGTTTCGCAACGGAAAACTCAATTCAGATCTACGAGGTTTTGTTGGATAACCAACCTCAATCACATGCTCCCAAATTAAAAACATTCTCCACCCCCTGGACGGCTGCTGATGTCAACCAGCGGCACCTTAGAAGTTAAGCAGTGGACGGTTACAGAATGCAGTGCATTTCAGTTTATTCAGACAATTATTAATAAAAATAAAACGAATTCTTTGCAGCTCACTCAAAAGCTCTAACAAAGTTCATGGATCAAGAAATCTAAAGTGATAGAATTATCTTTCGTAAAAGAGGCCCCATTTATTTACCATTTGATGCCGAAGCTCGTCAAAATATCATTGGAAAAATTCAGTCCGTACCGCACAGAAAACACTACACTTCACCATTACAAAGATCAACCGGTTAATGTATTTAAAGGAAATTATCACTCTTAACCCTGAGAATCAAACAAATCCGACAAATGCATAATGAAAAGCTACTGACTGTTAAAGCAGGCAAGTGGTATATATACTTACCACCAGGCTTTCAAGGGTTTAAACAATTTCATCAAGAATTTCGGCTACTGACATGTCTTGTTGTTTCAGAAATTCGAATCCCACACTGTTTAACGGAATTATTTTATTATAAATGACGACGTAAACAAACAGAATTCAATGGAATAAAAAATTGAATTTGTGTTAGAAAGAAGACAAGCCTAATTCTCTTCCAAGATTTCACAAATGTAAATGAAAATCTGTAAATGTTATAAGCAACTCTACTCTATTACCACCTGAGACACTTTTATGGCATAGATAAGACACCCGTTTTTGCCGTACTCTCCTGGGGACATTGAATCCGTCGTTGAGAACGACAAATGTAAAATTTATTGGAACTATTCGTTCCCCACTACCAGGCAGTTACTCAGCCGAATGCAAAAGGCCGTGCTTCTCGGGTCACTCCGACTACTGCACGTGCGTACGACCCCAACTCACTGTAGCCGCCTATCTCGTGGTTCGAGCCGTGACTACAGTTTCATCTGGGCTGCAAGCATCCGAGTTATGACGGCAACACGCCTGAAGTTTTTGGCGGCTTGTGGACCAATTAAACAATTGATCATAATAATAATAATAATAATAATAATAATAAATAGGATGTCCTTACGTCATTCTTTCTTCAAGAGGAAGAGACCTCGATGTCCACCGTCAAAATAAAATGGAGAGAGTGGACAGTGTGAAGAATTTATTAGTAATTCACAGAAGATAAGTACTTTGGTTATTGTGAAAGACTTTTAAAAGCACAAAAGTATCTCGTCTACAACACACTTCACCTACAAGCGATTCACAGCTCAGCTCTTTCCACATTGAAGAAAGCGGATTGTTGACGCCTTTACTAACGCGACAATGCCGAAGGAAACTATGACGTAACAATTAGTACTCACCCCCCATCTAGTGCCGAGGTCAAGAATGAGTTGGAGCTATACATCCACTCCCCCAAAGCGCCTACATGGCGTATAGTGGGACAGCTTTACTTTATTATACTGCATGTAATGAAATGAGAAATGAGCCTTACGGCATGCTCAGTCAATATTGTTGCAGGTGTGGTTTAGAAATTCCATTCCCTTGTGAGTGGGGAATTTCCGGTCATTGAGAAAGACCCAAAATTGCCAGGCCATGCGCACATTATTTTCTCGATAGTACTATTTTTAGGAGACATATTTACGAATGTGGGTTGCGTATAAACAATCATCTGTATATAACCGATGAGAATCAAAATTCAATTCGATTTGATATTTCAGGTTCTCTCATTGTTTCTTGCAGCCTCCATCATCAGGACTAGAAATAGAATACCTATCATGTGAAAACAGCCTTTTGCTGAATCTAGGCAAGTTTAAGCGTATAAGAGCAAAAAAGTGAACTTGTTTTGTAACATATTGTGACATTAAAAAACAAATAAAACGTAGATGTTGGTGCTAGATTCAGCAAGAGCGTGGATCAAACCCCTGAGATGTTCTTTACTTATGCCAAAAAGTAAACACCATAAGTCCTACGACGATTATCGAAAATCACCGAATAATTCATTCGATACTTCCATTCTCCTAGAAATCACAGATAATGCCAGCATATGATGATTCCCTTTGGCAGCAGCTGCAGCATGATTAATGGTGGAGTGGATGCTTATGTTCGCTGTGTCCAAGCTATACACATGTATTAATTGCATTTCTGTAAAGTAATGGGATTGAAAAGTGAGGAGAACTTTCAAAAGAAATGTAGACTCTGTGGCCGACTTGGAAGACGGTTTACTGACATTTTTACTCCCCACCTACCGTCTGCCGTAACTAAACCAAACGGGAAACTGTCGCAACTTATATACAAATGCCTTCAGCTACAAGTTAGTATGAATGCATATGATCTTTTATCGTTGTCGATCTACATGTTTCGTGAGTGACTGAATGTGAAATAGAAGGCCTGTAGCCATCGTAATTTTAGTTAATAAACCGCTCCGTATGCCGTGTTCTAACTTAGGTAGTTTTCATTTAGGTTCTTACTATGCAGGAATCAAGTTATTCAGTACCCTTCGAACGTACCAATTTTGAATGTTATAAAAGCATTTAAGCCATCATTGAAATGTCTTTTGCTTCACTCCTACTTTGTAAAAATTACAAATGACAGTCTTTTTTTGTGGCATACCGAATTAGGTGTGAATATTATACAGTACCTACCTCCTAACTAAATTAACAGGCTTTCATGAAGCTCATAGATTCAGGTACTTGACATAGTGTTCCATGGTACTTCCATTATGAACCAGTATCTGATGCACAATATCTGGTCAGTAGTTGATCTGTTGTCTTAAAATCCATGCTGATGATCTCCAATAATTTTGTTTGTTTGTTTGTTTGTTTGAATCTGAAGAGAGAATTGTTGGATAAAATGTATGTAATTTATAACAGTGATATTCTCAGTAATGAACACTTTTATTGCCCTTTTATAAATAGGTTTAATAGTAGATTACTTTCTGTTCTGTGGCAATTCTTCCTATTTCAAATAGAAGTAATAAGTCTGTGAATAATGTTGTGTCTCATACTTAATGGATCATTTCTGTTACCTTCCAAATTTACAGCCATTTAGGTCACTAACCTTACATAACCATCATCACAGCAAGTCAGGTAGCACAAATGTGAGATATTAATCCATAGTCATATTTCAGTAAATATGAATCTGCTCATTATGACATTAGCTACTTCAATGGCTGTTTTGACATTTTATATCTTTAGTGTTCAAATTCATACAAAGACATCTTCCACATCCTTGGCTTGTACTATGAAGGATCTATAGAATGTAAATAAATTCTAATTTTAATTTTGGATGAAATCAAAATTAGTTTTGTTACAATTCTAAGGTGTTTATTGCAAAATCTTTTAGCTGACATTATGTGTGTACAAGAATGCAATGAGCAGTTTTTTGGGGGTGAATTTAGAAAAACTGCACATTATAGTCAGAAAAATACTGGAAATTAATACTATTTGAATGAAAATGTTTACAGGTTAAAGAAGATGACAGTTTACCAAAGAAAATATGTGATGATTGCAATAAGAAGCTTGCTTCTTGGCAGAACTTTTATAAAAAATGTGAACAGACACAAAAGAGATTACAACAGTACTTAGAGAATTGGCAGAAGTCATCAGTTCATGTTTGCAGTTCTAATCAGGACAGTGTCACATGTCCATGTTCATACATTTGTAAAGATTCATTTCAAATTTCACTTGGTGATAAAACTCCTGCAGAAACAAACCAAACAAACACATCTGCACTGTCTAAGAAAGTGGAGAATTTTTCATCTGTGAGTTCAGAGACAAAAATTGGCATATCTATGATAACTAAGAATTATAAAAATATTGAATACGAACATAGGGAGGAGACTAGTTCTGTAAGAAATGTAAGTGACAACAGTAATACCTCTGAAGAGAAAGTGAAGATGCCATCAGCTGGAATTCAGAAGAAAACTGTCAGTCCTGAGGAGACTCATAATGTTATAGAACAAGAACACAGCATAGTAGGATTAAAAGAAAATGAACAATTGCAGATAACAGCAGAGGTTATGGCCTGTGTTAAAAGAATAAAATTCTCAGAACGTTCCTTGAAGATAAAGAAATCTGTTGAAGTTCATCAATGTCATATTTGTGAGAGGACTTTCTCCAGTCATGGTAAATTGAAAGCACATGTTACAGGTCATCTTTGTCTATCAGAATTTCAGTGCGACAAATGCAACAAGAAGTTCCGCTCCAAGTTCTCACTCAGGTACATTTATATGAAGCATTTTTATTGTCAAATTTGTCCCTAAAAACATAACCCTCGTTTGTCAGGCTATTTCATCTCATTCATGTTGAAGCTATTTGAACTTCATCATTAGGACTTTTGCTGTTCTCCAGGACCTCTGAAGCAACTCTTTCTTATGATTTCAAGAAACAAATTTGGTCCTCAGTACAGAATGTGATTTATTGCAGCACCAAACTGATTCTTTGTTTTCATTTTATTTTCAGCATTTATTATTATAGGCACAGTAATAAAAATGGTACAGTAGGATTGAAAAGATATATTGAGGAAATTGCTTTTTATCCTTATTTTTCAAGACTGTAGAAGTTTCAAAGTCATTTTAAGAAGAAGATTCATGCCTTTTAAGGTTACAATTTTGCTGATATGGCCAATTTTGTTTTTCCATTGTGCTATGGATACTGGCCAGTGGTCATTTCTTATGAACACAATAATGAACACTGGGTTTTATAAAATGAAGGGAATTTATTGTCTAGCTATGTTCCTTTATCTTATGAGAATAGGGGATTTAATCCCTGTATATAGGGCGGCCAGCCAAATTTATTTCCAAATGGTAGCAGTATGCTACTGTGACATAATTCAACTGGATTGTATGTAAGTTGTGAAATATATCTGATAGAGGTTAAGAGTATTTAGTGAAATAAAGATATTAAAACAATCTTTTGTTGTGTCTGCCTCTCTACATGCTATTTCTGGTTAGTCATTTGCTGTATATGGAGTTTTATTATGTTGCAAGGAGCCACTTGGAGACTCATTCAGCAAGTCGAAATTATTGCTGCCACCTCTGCGGGAGATTGTTCCACACAGCCTCAGGACTTTGTAACCATGTGAAACTACACAGTGAAGAAACAAAGCGATTCTCATGTCCACTTTGCAGCAAGCAGTTTCGTCAAGCTGGTCACCTTGAGCAGCACCAGCGCACCCACACAGGTCTGCCATGTTTTTACTAGAACAATAAGTCACTATATTTTAGAGTTATGTGTGGATTTTTTATGTTGTTTCCTTGTAAAAAATAATTGGATCACGGTATTATCATGTCTCTGTGTTTTTCCCATAATAACTTTTAAACTGACTCATATTTTCACTAAACCTGGTATGAACATCAAACATTGTCTATGTACTTTTAATTTCATACCTTTGATAATACTGATTTGCAAACTTCAGAGGTGGAAGCAACACCAGTGCCTGAAATTTTGTGGTGATAGGTCTACAAGGAACATTAATGTTTAGTTGAGGTAACATTTTCATGCAATGTAAAAGAGCATGATGACTACAAAATGTTTATTTAGCTTTCAATTTGGTGTGAACAGGAAAATATCACTGTTTTGTGTTAGTGTATGGCCTCTCTAAACAGATGGAAGCATTTAAAGAATACATGTTCTTCCCAGAATTTGTATTTAAATTCTTCTGTGGAACCATAGTCTGGAACATCAGTGAATATTTCCTGACTGAAATGATTACTTTAATTGAATAGGTAACTTCTGACATTAACAAATACTACTTAATACATCATTAATGGAAAGAAATTTATGGAAATAATTCACTAAGAGTATACAAAGCTTTTGTGATGAAGTCCTTGTACTGTTTTCATGTGGTTGTATTTATGTGTTGTCCTGTGTTACACAGTACTGCTGAAAAACTGAACATGATGTGTTAACTTATATCAGTGACTGCATTGTTTAAACACATAACAAAATTGTTTCCTCTTTCAGTGGTTGCTAACC